TCAAACTTTATCCTGGAAATGTTAAAAACAGCTAACAAAGCTTGTTCATTGTGAATCTATACATTTCTGTGCCCCATTCAGACTCGGGGGGACTTCCTGCAGGTCATGATCCAGAATGAGATCCCAGAATCTGACATAAAGAGCGAACACGAACAGCCCAGTAAAGGTCTGTTTGAAACACAACTGAAGATCTAATCACTGTTTCCATTTAAACAGTTTTGTATCCAATATTTAATGTCTTCCTTATAAAAAGAATGTTGCTGTTAGCTCACAGTTACTGTCTACAACGGTCTTGAATAATAACTTGATAAATGAGGATAAAGTAAATATTTAACCAGAGGTTATGCCTGTGCACAGTCTAGGTAATGCTAGAAAATAATGATTAACCAGTTCATGTGCAATACAAATAATCTAACATTTCTCTTATCTGTAATAAAAATAGTCAAAAGAATATAGTTGTCAACATTTGATCATCTCTCTAAAAACTCACTATTCTACTAAATAAATATGTAGCCTTTTTTCCATACGCTTAAAATAGGAGATGTCTTCATTATTTTGGCCATAACAGCTTGTTTATGGTCGTTAATGCAGTTGTAAGCTCCAGTGATGTGTTCTATAATGAGGTAGGCTGTGGCCTTAAGAGATAAAAAGGTCTTCCTGTACATAATTATCAGATTCTATTCCCAGTGCAAAATGAGAAAATGGCGTACTTTAACAGACTATAAAATAAAAGGATGCAGCATGCTGAAAATTGCAAAGATGCAAGGATGTGATTCCAAAACCACCAGATTTTTTGTCTCCATAAACATGTTGAAAAAAGACGCAAATTAACAGCCATAAATTAAAGGATCAAAAAGCAAAGCTACTAGAAGCCTGATCACTTCCATTCTGGATAGATCAGGAACTTACATAATTATGGACACCAGGAAATTAACTATAAAGACACATCTGTACTGTTAAAGATAGGCTCTGTGTATGCACCTTGATGCTCTATCTCACCGGTTCTTTCCCCTGAAAAGAGATCACTCGGGAAAAACTCTTTAAATAACACTAACACACAGACATAACGACAGATTCTGATATAAATTGTAATCTTACTCAGATCAGAGAAATTGCTTAGAATGTACAGAAGGCAGCTGCTCACCTCCCAGGAAGTGGCCCCAATTAACAGTTAAAAAGGCATTTTATACATCTCCAGTCTGCCACATCATCTTATTTTACATCATACACGTTAGCAGATGATTAGACATCCATGGCTCCAGCCTTATCAAAATATTACACTTCATTCTTAGCTGAAGGACACCGCTCTCATTCCATTCCCAAATCTTTTCCATGTACAGAATGAAGATTATAACTGTATATCCAGACAGAGAAACTGTCCTAATAAGATTAAAACATCTGTTTTGACACAGGCAGCTAATACCAAGGTGTAATGAACTCGCACATCATCAATGATAATTATCCTAACAGTATTACTAACATCTGCGTTTCTTATTACAGGTTTGACTGAACATGAGATCCTCTCCCAGGCTCTGACCTTCATCTTCGGTGGCTATGAGACAACCAGCACCACTCTCTCTTTCACCCTTTACAACCTGGCAACAAATCCTGATGTTATGCAGACCTTACAGAAAGAAATTGATGCCTGTCTGCAGAAGAATGTAGTTTTTTTATGATGGCTTTTGTAGTCTGTTACGCTAGAATAGCTTTACTCCTTTATTTCCATCTTACTTTCCTCTTCTTCATCCAGACCTCCATCTCCTATGAGGACCTTAACGATCTGGAGTACCTGGAGCAAGTTTTCTGTGAGTCGCAGCGCTTAGTTCCAACTGCGCCTCGACTTGAGAGACTCTGCAAAAATACGGTGCAAATTCATGGTCTCACCATCCCAGAGGGAACATTGATTGGGATTCCAGTGCATTTGTTGCAAATGGATCAACGATACTGGAGCTCACCAGAAATGTTCAAACCAGAGAGGTAAGCAGCCAACAAAATGTATCAGAGGAAAAAAAAAACCCTGCAAAAACTAATCTAAAAATATGTGGTATTTTTTAAAGATAAGTGTATTTTCCTTTAATCGAAACAGATAAATAAGATGATCCAGAATCAGATTAGATGGCATTCACTTAAAAACCATATAAAATACTTTTCTTTCATTATTTTAAAAGTAAATTATCTTCCTGTCCAAAATAATGGAAATACATCAATCTTTACTTTTGGGGTTTAAAATACTTTTCCCATGTGTTTTTAACTGTTCTTTATTTTTGACCACATCATCAGCCACCTTATTCTGGTCCCTACAGGTTCAGCAAGGAGAATGAGAAGGATCTGAACCCATACGCTTACATGCCGTTTGGCCTCGGCCCTCGTAACTGTGTGGGGATGAGATATGCCATCCTGGTCATGAAGATGCTCATCGTTCGCATCCTGCAGAATTACACCGTGGAAACATGCAGAGATACAGTGGTGAGGCAAAAACCCTGTAATAACCCTGACTGCTCATTCTGCTCTGCTCTCATATTAGTGTTTTATTTCTTTTTTTTTTATGTCTTTAGATCCCGATTCAGTTTGATTGGAAGTTCCAGCCACTGAAGCCTATAATGCTGAAGTTTGTACCAAGAAAACAATGATTGATGAGACAATACGTCTAATTGAAATCCAGCTTGGCATTAAGTATATAATTCATTCTTTGAGACCAACTGTCTTTATTTCTGTGTTCATTTAAATGCACTGATAGGTTTAGATAAAGGTAAACACAGTATTTTTTAAACCAACAAAATCAAATCAAGTAATCATCTAAGACATGATAATCAGTTAAAAATAAAAGGAAAAAAAATGTGTCCAGGGTTGGAGCATGTACCATCCTACACACCAGTTGCTGTTTTTTTGTTTTGCTCAAAAAAATGCGAAAGGGATGATTTTCTAAAGTAAAATATACAGGAACCCCATGGAGACACATAGCAGGTCAGGTGTGCTTTTATTCACACGACTTGACTGCATTTCATTATTCAAGTAAATCGGTTAAAAGCATGTTGCCTTTAATGTATTAAATAAATAAAATAACAATGTTTGTTTCCCTTTAATTTCATTCTGTTTAGGATATATTCATGAGTAAAATAAAATATCCAACAGATATTTTGAGTATTAAAGCCAAGTGAGGTATTGGTTATTATTTTTATAACAAATTTGAAATAAGATTTCTTCACCAAAAGGCAAAAGCTTTTTTTACTCTTATCTCCAATTGTTTCAGTTTATCCTCTAAACTCAGGACATGATTTTAAATAGCTTTCTTTAACATCAGGTTTTAAATTTTGATCAGATTAAAAGCCCTTCTAGCAGGAGTAACTTTGCCACCACATGAGAAAACTATGAACTGCTGGCTAGGTGGGAACTACGGTAGAAATGTAATTCTGGTTTTCAAACAGATGCCTTGGCGACTACTAATAGTCTCTAATAAATTTAGCAAGGCTAAAAACAAAAGACAGCGAAACAGACACATTTTCCAAAAAGTAACAACGGTTTATTTCATCTCAATATGTGAATGAACACATAAGGCTTTATTGGTGTTGTCCTGGAACTAAACATATATAATGTCTTGTCAGTTAAACTATCACAACATAAAAATGACATATTTTAGATTTTCTTTAATAATATTCAGGTGGGATACATTGTGTTTGGCTTTATTAAAATCTCTTGGGGAAAGAAAAAAAAAAACACTGTAAAACAGCTTAAAGTGGTGTTTCTGAGATTTCCTGTTGTGAAACTTCAAATCAAACATGTATTATTCTTGAAAATCTCACATGTGAGATTTTGAAGCCATCTTAAGCAAATACTTTATATTAATCATATGAAAAGACATTATTTTTCTGTCAGTTTAAAGCTGAGGAACGTGAACGCTCATCAGGAAACCTCAGTAACTACAGAATATTTCCAGCAGAGGGCGCCAGAGTGGTACCTTTGTGCATTTAATGAAACATGCTATAACAGGAGTTACACTTGATATTAAACTGATAGAGTGCTGATTCTATCCTTTCACACAAGACAGTTGCTGGTTTCATGATAAAACATCTCGTCTACAGTAACACTGATTTTTGTCATTAAGAAAACAAAAAAAATAAAATAAACGTCAATTCAGACGCTTCAAAATGCTGTTGGACAATAACTTCTCCCAAGAGTAATCTGTAAAGGTGTCAAAGTATAAAAGTGTGACGGAGGGAAATGTGACACATTTAACAGCTTAATGGTAAACTAATAATTGAAGACATAAAGGTTGAAAGAAAAAATAAGGATAGTACACAGAATGGAATAAGTGTTTCGTTTTAACGTAAACATAAAAAACAAAATACTTCAAAGCCTCTAAGAGTCCTGAGTTTATAAAAAATAAACCAAACAGACAAAAAGGCCAGAGTTTTACATCATAGAAATCCAGTGAATTTTTAACAGATCAGGTTTTACAGAAACTTAAGTTAAACATCTTCTAAAGACATCAGCGGCTCTTTGTTTATGAGCAGAACTCATTCTGCAGGAAAAAGAGCACCTTCCTGTAAAATGTAAAGCTTGTGACACTAAGGGTGAGTGGTGACCTTAGTTTTTTTTTTCAGGGTGATGACAAAATCCATGACAATATGACAAAAAAAACCTTAAGAGAGTTTGTTTGATGTAACATCATCTTTCTCAGAGGAAAATGATCCAGGTTGATCTCAGGTGAAAAAGAGCTTTTAACGCTGCATTTGAATGAACTCAAATTTGACAATTTTTCTTTTTTTAAAATTGTAGATTATAAGGTACCGAGATTGAAGGCACCATGGCAGCTGCTACTGAGTGAGAGTCTCCTTCATCTCACTACCTGCACCTAGAACCTAAATGATAAAAACAAAATGTTAAAAGCTTATCACCCCAGTAAAAGGTGAATGGGTTGGTATGAATCTGCATCTTCAGTTACATAATTCAGTTTGATTTATGGAGGATTGTCTGGAAGAACCTGAGCTATTGCTGGAGAGTCCACTGGAAACAAAATACAAAGAATTAGGCTGACTGCTTAAACTACAGTTTAACTTTATCCAGTAGTTTTGTAGGCTGGACCAAGTGATGCTGCTTTAGTTCAGTAGATGTTAAATGCAGCTGCCAGCAGAGAAATCATTTATTAGCTGCAAATGACATCATACAGACTCACCAAACCTCTGCTAAAGATGCTTGAAATGACTTTATCTTCACTACCTGATATTCAACATTTAAAAAAATCCAACCTTTAATCAAAGTGTAGGTTTTCTTTTATTACTCATAAAGAGTTCATCAGATTGTAACTTTAAATCAATAATTGATGAACTTCTGCTTCTCTAGGCTTAAAAATATGAAGCAGAACAGAGCCTGGTTTCTTTTACCCATTCTTAAAAATAGAAACGAGAAGAGAAAATATCACTTAAGACTGGAAAACACAACAAGACATGAACTCCTCTGAATGTGTCCATATCTACAACCAGACACGATAAAAACATCTGAATTCACTGGAATTTTCAGCGAGTCTGGATAACGACAGATCATGCAGGTAAACAAAAGGACTGACAGCTTCACACCCTCAATGCCAATGAGTTGTTCAGCTCGGCACGGCGGAGTTTGGTGGTGCTGTGGGACTATAACATTTGCAAGTGTGCCAGAGACTCATTAAAATAGCATGACATCTTTAATAAAATATTTGGTTTTCTTCAAATAAAACAGATTTGTTTTGTTTCCAGGTTTAATGACATGAAAACAGCTTAACAGATACCAAATCAACCCTTTTCCCTTAACACCTCATCCCATAGAAAAACCACTAGGAGAGCATAAGGAAACCAGGGATGTTCCACACTTAATAAATTACTTAAAATTAAAGGTTGGATTTCTCCTAAACTTGCCACTAAATTTTGTACAAATCTTTCCCTTGGATTCAGGTTATATTAATCAACAGTCATAGAAAACATTTGTTGAGGATTTCAGGGTGGAATCCTGAAGAGACGAGGACTAAATTTAAACTCCACCCGTCTGCTTTTAAATGTTTTCACAAAACAGAAATGGGGCAGCCTAAAAGAAATGTTCAGTCTCAGTGAAAGCCAAGCTGGAAGATCTGAGGCCATAACACTGAGCAGGAAGTTTCTCAACACCTAAATCAGTGTCTGAAAGTCATTCACCTGAAAAATAAAAATAACTGGACAGCTATAGAAATAATATCATTTTCTGTATCAGTGTCCGAAGGAGTTTTTATGTGAAGCAGAATGACTATTTTCTTTACCCTGTGATGAGGTGGGGATTCCAAGTAACTGCTGGTACAATCTGCATGTGGTTTGTAAATGACAAATAAGTGGGGATGGTTTTGTCTTTGAAGTGGGAATAAAGAGGTCATTTTGTCAGCGGGAACCTTCCACAGACCCAGACTGAGACAGACTGTCCTGATGCTCTCATTCACAGCTGGCAGCAGTGCCTGAAGAAACCATCTGACAAGGCTTTTGGCCGCTGCAGGTTCTCCGTTACCACACTTGCTCTGTAGGAAAGAGTAAAGGCCATCCAGCAGAGGTGGCTGCTTCTACCTGCGGGGCTGAGGACGAGCGTGTCGAGGCAAAGAGGAGGAAGGGCTGGAGGAGGTTGAAGGAGAGCATGGTGACATGGAGGCCAGGGAGGCTGTGGCAGCGGCGTCCTCTGCCTCCTCCAGCTCCCCGTTCGCTCCGTGGAGCTCCTGGCTCACGCTGGACTGTAAGGCAGCAGGGGTCAGCCATTCTTTGGGCAGGCAGCTCTGGAGGAATGGCACGCAGGAGCTGAAGTAGGCCAGACGGTTGACCCAACGAGGGATCTCCCTGCCACACAGGATCTGAGCAGTACAAATAAAGGAGGTGAGAAATATACAACAATCTGCCTTACAATTGGTGTGACATCATTAAGACCCAAACGACTAGAGGATACCACCAAACTATTTTTAAGGCAGCAGCAGACGCTGCCGATAGGGGTTTAAAGATTATTTCTGATTTTAAACTTTGGCTTGGGAAGTCAGCAGCATAAAACAATGGTTTTATTTATATAAACACATATTGTTCATTTAAATGCTAGTGTTCTTAGGTAGCAGCAAAAAGAAGATGAAATGTCTCCTAACTTGTTTCGCTAGAAAGAGAATCCAAGGCATACTAGCAGTCATATGATGATCTCATAGCTGGTCCTGTTTTTGTTCCAGGGGGCGGCCATCAGAAAGAAGAAGCTAATCCATAAATATCCTCCTAATTACCCACACCCCCATGGTTTACCCATTGCAGATAGGAAGACTTTTTACAGTCAACACAAACAGCTTCATGTGAAATGAGAATCCAGATGAAATGGAAGCAGGTAATGGAGGTTTGCAACAATTTGGTCACTAAAACACGTCATTGCCATCTATTCTAGTATTTATTTAAAAAGTAAGGTGTTCTAGTCAATGTAATTTATTCAAAGCAATACTAATTTTGTTTGGTAAGTACCAGTGGATGTAATTTGTGCCCTGTTTAATCCTTTCAATCTTTTCTATGTTGTTTTTGCAGATAAAAGGGATTCATCCTCTGCTTATGTGCTTGTTCTGTCTTGATCTAAATGACTGATGACACACCTTAAGGAAGGATGAGAGTAGAAAACAAAGGAGGATATTGTATATATAGTAGGATAGGATACAATGATGCAACAAAGGAAAACTAACGGAAAATGTATGTTGTATGTTCTCCAAAAATCCACAAAAACATGACCACACCATAGACTTGTGTAACCAGATCATAACAGTGAGGAAGCTCTGGCTTGTTTACGAAAACAGGTGACAGACCAATATGATCTCTGGAGAAGAAATTATTACGCCTGATCTGCTCTTCTCTACCTTACCTGATCTAAAAATGAGTTCGATCCAGAGGGAAATTGTTAAAATCAGCCAAACAATAACGACAATTTTTTCCGTTTTTCCACTGACTGTATGTCTGAACTCTAAACTGTTATTTCCTGAGAGAGGGTTTCTCTGTGTGGTATTTACAGCACATATGTTCTACATCAGTGTTTGTGTCTGAGTGTATGCCAGCTGGCTCTGCACGTCCAGGCTTGTATCAGTAAGCTCTAGCTGCTAACTGTAAGACTCCCTGCTCATTAGTCACTCCAGCATAAGCTGATTGGTGGCTCACACACACAGACATGTAGGCAACGCTACCCAGAGCAGAATGAAAACATAAGCTTGTTTAAGCATTGGGATATGTAACATTAATCTGTTTTTTGCAACAGCATCCAGTTGGAGTTATATTTAACATGGTTTCAACTTAATGTTAGTTTTATGTAAGGAGATAAAATGGCCTAATATGGAATTTTTTTTTTGTACCCCACCTCTGAAAGTGCTGAGGAAAAGTGGTTGCAGTTCTTGTGCATGAGGTGGTAGGCATTGCCCTTGTATTCCTTCCCCATTTCCTCCATGATCTTCTCCACATCCTCCTCTGTGAAGTCCGTGCTGCCCAGGACTATGGCTTCTCTGCAGAGGGGAAACCAACATCATTCATCACAGAGCGCAGGGTCATTTTATTATGCTAAATAAATGGATCGCTTCAAAATATGGTAATATTCAGTAAAAATCCAATTTACATAAATGTTTTAAATTGCTCTTATAGGACGATCGATGCATTTCTAATAAGAGTATTTTCAAATTTTCTTTAGGAGGTTATCAGAAAACAGTCTTTGAAAAGACTCGTACCTGAGTCATTTCTCCCTCATGATCCAAACCTACAGTCTCCTACTCTGTATGAGGACACCATGCAAGGCTGTGTGTTTGTTTGTGTGGAGTCTCTCTAAAGCCATAGGGCAGGTCAACTAGAGCAGAAGTAATACGCAGCAGCACAGCAGCTCTGGATAAACAGAGGCTCTCCTAACATACTGAACCGACTTCTCTGCCATTTCTCTGACTTCAATCCAACTGCAGAGCAAACCATTCAAAATAAAACCCTCTGTTGCAGTTAACTAAAGGACCAAACCCAACCTCAATAAAGCAATCTGACAGTCTATATCTTTGTATTAATAAAATACAACATGGAATTGCATATATTCCTTGTTTTGAGGAATTCCAATATGTAACATGGCACAAAAATAATTATATAATTTACCGGTATGTAATATTTTTACTGAATTATGTCAACTCCATAAGGCCCTTTTTCCAAGTTTCTGGAACATAAAAGAAAATAAATGCAATAAAAATGCATTTTATGTCAGTAATTAAATATAATAAAACGTTTGTATTGCTATTGTGGAGGATTTCCATTGATTTTTGAAGAGACCTGCCCTCTCCCATTTAAAAAAAAAATGCAAATGCACACCCCTGTACCCTCTCCTGAGAGGGAACGCCTATTAAACGCGTACGGGAGCGTGCACAAGCCCATTTCTCCTCGTGCACTCTCTGTTTAAAAGTTGCTGTTTGCAAGAAGAAATTTTTCCTCCATGTCAGGCTCACCATCGGTAAGTAAAAATAGGGACCAGCAAGTAGGATGGCTTTACATAAACATATCACCAGAATGATTGACATTTAGGAGGACCACTTATTTTGATGATCCAGCCGGAAAAAGGACATCCTCCACTATACCTTTAAATATGTTGATAGAACAAACAATCTTTAAATGGCATATACACATTCCCTCTTTTCTTTGAGGTATTACATAACCATTCTGATTTTGAATAACCTTGAAATATTTCCTGTGTTTATTTTGAAAGAGATTGTAATCTTAAATCCAATATAAAATCAGAAAAATTTCAAATCCAAAAATATATGCCTTTTATACACTAAAACAAATGCATCAACCTCAAGGCCAGTGGTCGGTCCTGGCCTAGTAGTGCAATTTATCCAGCCCTCAGGACCAAAACAAACACTAAGATGCCATATGAAATATCGGCATATGTTTTAATAAAGTGTAAAAAGAGGCTAAACTTGTTAAATTAATGGGAGTAAAATGATTAAAAAAAAATAGCTGGGAGTTCTTTGAAAATTAAATGTTGAAATCCAAAGTTGTATTTATAAGGCAGCAATGGGCCCTTTAAAAAAGGCTTGATGAGGTAGAAGTGACCTCATATTAAAATGAGGTGACAACCTTCCACTAGAAAGTGGAAGTCTTTTCTTCGTAGCAAGAGATTTAACCTCTTAACATCCACCTCATTTTGGGTAATCCTCGCCTATTTTGCATATCCAAATGGAAAAGCAAATAACTTAGGAAGTGTAAGCTCAAATTACATGTGCAATACATTATTTAAAAGCTAACACCCTCTAGTTTCTGAATATATTAATTCATACTGGGTGAGCAGAAGACAGACCAAGATGCATCAGTTCAAACATGACTCAAAGTTGTTGTTTTTTATTCTCGGAAATTATGTTTTGCCTTTTTTGAACAGATATTCTTGAGAAAAAGCAGGTTTTATTGTATTATATTTGTTTTACATCATGTCAACCACAAATGCAGAAAAGTTCAGACCTCTAGCTATAACAGTTCCAGAGCTGTGGGGTTTTGAACCTTTTGTGGCTCCACCTACTGTTAAAACTTTTTTCTGGTGAAATTTTATGCATTCTGAATTATTACCCCTACTTAAGATCCACCAAATCGCTGGCAACCCAGTGGTTTTAAAATGGCAATCAAGGTACATTTCTACAGCTCCAACATGGTGGAGAATCTTAGTTTTAATGCAATTAATGAAGAGAAAAGGGGTTAGATTTCCTCAATTGATCTACAATAAACAATTAGAGAAGATTAAAGAAAAAGGACTAATTACTGATCAGGATCTGATTGTTGCAACTCTTGTTAAATACAATGACAAAAAAAATCTTTATGATGGGAACAAAGGTACTACTCCACTTACCATTGACATTAAGACTTTTCTGTTGGACGCTATCACTTAATGATGACTGGTCCCTAAATTTGGCTGTTTAGAGTGAGGTGTTTGACTTCGAGTAAAAAAGAGGTAGTTGGAAAGAGAAAAAAAATCTAAATAACTTGAGACATTCTTTGTGTGCCAATTCTGACATTTACTGCCTATTTAAATATTTTTTGTTGTTTAACTGCTTTGTAACTGCATCTGTAGCGGATGAAGAAACAAATCTGCAGTTTTTCTGTCTTCATTGAGATCATTCTGTTTTTAGTCTAAAGTGGACTGAATAACTATCTCAGCTAAATGGTTGATTATGCAATAAGTGAATCAGCTGAATTTACGCAGAAGACACGTTTTCTGACTTCCAGGTTGCGTAATAATTTCCAAAGAAAAAAGAAAGAGAGACATTGTGCTTGTCTGAAAAGTAATGAAACCAACCCCGCCTACGTACTTGAACTTAAACGTTTCGCCAAGTTCAGTTGCGTCACCTGGAGTGATCTCAAAGATCCCTGAGAATGGGTATGGATGTCCACCGTAGGCAAACTCTGAACACAAGAACAGACTCATTTTAGCACAAGTAGAAAGAAAGGCCTTCGTTAACTAATGTTTGTAGACATGTCTTAGAGGAAAAAAATATTTTTCACTATATTAGGATGATACCTTCTGAGCATTTAAAAAAAAAAGCATATACTTCCAGAACTATCAGAGTATTTGGTATATAATCTCTGGCCAACCTTACCTCTTCCATAGATCTCAATTCCTGAGTGAAAAACTCCAATACCCAGAGAGCTGGTGAACTCATTGATCCAATACTGCAACATAATCAAAAAAAGAACACGTTAGGTCAAAGTCTGCATTATATACTGCTGGGTAAGTGAAATGCTCCATACTATGCTTAACCCGGTTACGCACAGCATGTATGGACAACATTTAATGATACTTCAAGGCCTATCTGCAAAGTTTCTAGTCCATCGAACCCTATAGTCAAAATATTTGGTGAACCATCCAATTTATACCAAAACCAGCAGAACTCTGTATTTTAGCTGGAAGATTTTACTGTAAATGTGTTAAACTAATATATATAATGTCATAGAGGGGCAAGTGTAAGGCCCATGCCTATAACAGACAGACAGACAGATATTAGGGCTGCAACTAACATCTAAACTAACTGTTGATTATTTCTTTGATGAATCGATTATTATTCGGAAAGCCAAAGGTTTCTTAAAGGAGGTTTCTTAAAGAAAAGTCCACTTGAGTTTTGGATAAATACAAAATGTTAACATATCTTATTACAATCTTGGTATTATTGCTGCTCATGGTGTATTGTTTTTTTCAGATATGGCATGTTTTATAGACTCTATACTCCAGTTAACGATTAATTTATATATATATATATATATATATATATATATATACATACATACACACAACAACTAACCAGTAATGGAAAATATTACCACTAGAATGAAAAATAAAAAACCACAAAACACATTAGTACTTTAAAATAGTAATATTTTTTCACACTAGTAAGGCAATGATGACATACTTTGTAGGCCTATATGGACTTCCAAAAAAATGCTATTTCAATAAATTTTTCATCACAAAAACAAGAAGTCCAAATGAACCTTTGATCCTTCAACAAAACCTTAAATGCAATCACATCAGGCTAAAATGCAACACAATGATGCAAATCATCACTATTTTTACATTCACTTATTACTCTGGCCATTTTGTTTTATTTTGACATTTATGTTTCCTGTTTAAAATAGAGACTCTCAGTGCCAGATGACTAGAGGTGAGTATTGGCATGAATGTTGCGATTCGATACATGTCGCGATACTTGGGTCACGATACGATATTATCACGATATTGCAGTATCACTATATATTGCCATATTTTCCCCAGCTATCAAAATCAAATGATGAGATAAAACAGCAAGTGCTGTATATTTTCATCAAAAAATATTGATTAGGTATTATTAACCATGTTGTTTGGGGTTTTCTTCCACTGTGACTGCCTCAAATACAGATTTGGTGCTGCACGCACAGTTAAAGGGCTCCACAGCGCTTTCTGCCAGAGTGGTGGTGCAGAGGTAGCCCATTTTCCCATCAATGTTTTATGTAACCATTTTTTTTTTAAAATCGATACTAAGAAGTGAAAGATCGATATTATATTGGGCAGCCGAATATCACGACATATCGCCAAAACGATTATTTCCCACACCCCTACAGATGACAACATATATTTGGCCCAATTCTTTAAACTAAGGTGACAGAACCAACAGCTGCCATCCACAAATGTTGGAAATGACATTTATTGGTCAGAGTCTCACATAGGAATAGTATAAAAATGTCTATTAGGGACACATTACTGCCTTAACTGCAGCAGCATTTCTCTCTCATTCTACCAACTGACCAGTAGGTAAAAATAATATATTAGCACAGGAAGAGCTTTTATACTTAACTCACATGCTGCTTTTTATAATTTAAAATCAGCATAAACTTTCCAATGTTCACATTGCTTAATTCATCTGCCGCTGCTTCAAACTTGTGATGTAGAGAGTTTGTAGAGATAACGTCTTCTGGGTAAATATCACAATATACCCAGGAGATGTAAAAACCTGCCTCAGGTTGAAGTTTTTGACACAAAGCAACATTTTGATAATCTGCTGTTCTTTTGGCGACAAAGAAACAGTTTTAGAACCAAACTTGTGATTTTCTTTTTCCTTTGGGGCTACCCCAAAAATAAAGGAAGTCTTTGTCAACTTGTTGGCTATGACTGCTCTCTTTAGAAACTTTATGTGTGAAAAACATGAACAACAACAAAACCCATGCATCGCTGCAAGAGAATCCTCTCATGAACAGTTCTAAAACATTAAAGGCTGCTGATGGGAGTCAAAGTAACTGAGACAATGAGTGTCTGGGATATTTTTCCACAAAGTTATAGCAAGTAATTTGAAAAAGACTGCTTTAAATCTTTGCTAAGTGTTAAAACATTTCTTAAACAAAGGGATGAAAACAGAGCAATGACTAAACTGAAACAGCTTTTGCTGTATTTTTGTGGTTAAACCCCAAATGAACGTCACTGCTCTAAAAATGCAAAGGAAATGAGAGACCGAAAGAAAGGAAATGACTATCAGACATACATATAAGGGTTTATCGAGTCTGCTTTTAGCTGGTTATCTTAAAAGTCTGATTTTTAGGTCTTAAAAGCCAATTTTTTCTTTTCAGATCACATTTAAATCTAAGTTTCTACCTTCATGCTTCAGAGAACAAAGGACAAATCAAATGCTGAACTCCTGAAACTCCAACAAGCTTTGCAACGGTGCAAAAAGAGTACATGTACATCACAGTAACATAATCCTATCTTTAATTATTTAGCATCAATAAGACCTGATAGCGGTGAGTTGTTCCCTCTTGGTCAGGGTCCGGCTCTCGATAAAATGAAGGAGTTTATATTTTTTGTAGTTTTGTTATGATGAGCAAGGAGATGGGACTGGGTTCTTATCTGGAGTAATGCAGGCATTGCTTTGATCTTTCATATCAAAGACTGGTCATATGCTTTCACACAGAATTTGGGAGATCCTTTATACAAGCAGGTCAAATAAACCTCTTTCGTTTAATCCTGGGACTCAGTCAGCTGATGACGGGATGAGGAGTTCCTGGTTCTGGCATCGCCACAATGCAACGGTTCCTCTGAGAGGAGATCCCAGGCCTTATTGGAGGTCATATTTCCCTTCTGGGTTAAGATTTCCTTGGTATCCCCAGAATCAGCTGGAGAATCAATGAATAAGCAGAATGGATGGGAGAAAATGCATTTAATATTTTTAAGAATTTCAACTCAAACTTTCTGTGACAAAAGTCTGCCACAAACTAATAATTTTTTACCTTCTATTTCCACAATGAAGGTTGTTCCATTAAAAGTGCCTCTAATGTTTTATTTTATCACCAAGCTTTTGTTTTTTTCTTCTTAATGACAGCAGAGGGACACAATAAGCACATCCTCCTCAGTTACAAACAGACCTAATGTCCTACCATGTTTTCTCATTGACAGAACAGGGTGAGATACTCCACCCGTCTGTCTGACAGTCTAGCAGGCAGTCAGGTGGTGTAAAGATAATGCTCTCTCATTACAGGGCTGCACTAAAGCACTCAGAGTGAGCCAGAAAATCCACTTAGTGGAGACAGGAGCAGGACGGTCAGGAGAGACAACAGGATGGGGAATGTGGGAGAAGAGAGAGACTGGTGCTGCACTTACATTCCTGAAAATCACGTGAGGCTATTGATCCACAGATGGAAGGATGAATTTTCATCAGTCTTAAGCACAGACACGGTTATGCACAAAAAGAAGTAAACAGATAAAATGTCAAACTTCATCCTTCTGTTAGGAAATAAAACAGATGCAATTCAATACTGGAAAAAAGGGATTTTTTTTCTTATTGTTTTGTTTTTGTTTTCTACTCTATCACTTTAATCAAGATTAACAACTATCTAACTCCTCTTGGGTCAATAAAAACATCACAAACATTTAATTTTACACATTTTTTTTAAATGAAAGATCAGATGAGGTTTTAGGGAGCGTCCCGCTGGTAGACCAGAGTCTTATCCCACTGAGACCATTACTACATGTCTTCCCCTCTCATTCATCCCATTTCCTGTCTGGTAACTGTGTGAAATAATGACATCAGATAAGGATAGGGACATAAAGAAGAATAAACTACCTGCTGTGTGACACAGAAACTAAGCACATACAAAAACTGAAGGTAATGCAATAGTAATAAAAACTCAAGCAGAAACTGTAATTATAGTCCCATATGACTAATCGACTTCCTGTAGGTCTGCAGGAGCTATTTCTGGGGCATTACAGTGACATTATTCAATTACCCACCTCCACGGTTTACTACCAGGTGTAGCAGCACAGAAACAGACCAAATGGTATTAGCACATAGGTCAAAGTTTCCAAGTATCTGAAGAAGTAACGCATCTGCTGTAAGAATTGAAACCATTGGATTATTTACTGCAGGAATGAATGATGCTAAACTAACCAGTTTAGTGGGGCCTAGCTAAAAACTCATAAGCACCATCTACACTACCCTCTGAAAACCTTCGATGCCGAGCTTGTTTCCTTATGGCTGTGTACACATCACGCTAGCACAGTTCCTCGCCTCCTAGTGACGATCTACGGTACTACTGCTCTCTAGGGGTAAACAAGCAAACCAACATGGCGGCGCCCGTAACATTCAGGAAGTTTGCGGAGAGTCAGGCAAAGAAGGCAGCCTTTGGTGAATTTACTTGACTGAGCCGGATTGTGGGATGTGGATACGAGAAACGATAGTTTAATCAGGGCTTACAGACGTGGGAAACAATGACAGACGTTGAGATTCATCACATTGCTAAGCAGACTCATCACTGGAAATCGTGTGGCAAGGCAGGGAAGCTTGTATTTTTATGAATGTCGGAAATTTCATGATTATGGAGGCTAACTGTAAGGAGAGGACGCAGTTTGCTCAAGCGCTCTTTTTTTATCTGAGAACCAACGCAGAACTGAACCATGGCGAGCCCTACTGATGAACTAGTACCAGTTTAGTGCATTTTGGTTGTGTCTGGCGCAGCCAGTTGTGCGTGCCATTTACACTCAACAGTTATCACATTACCGTGCTCGGACCAATCTCGGCACGGTTTCAGAAGGGTAGTGTAAATGGGGCTATAAACTCATATTCCCCCCCCCGAAAAAAGAAATATTGAAACGGTGGGTTTACAGGAAACACTCTAAATTTTGTTTTTTGTTTTCTAAAAAAAAAGTCTTTGCACAA